AAATAACAAAATTTTGTTATTCTCTCTCTCTCTCTTTTCGTTGCACTCATCCTTCATTCCTCGCCACTTTTCTGTTCTTGAATCATAGCAGTAGTAATTTCTCTTGCAAGAATTGATTCATAGTTACAGGTTAACTTGAAGTTGTTGCATCATCCACTTCCTTCACAAAACGTTCACCTGAAACTACCAAGAAACAAGCCCCTTATGGTAGCCTCAGCAGCCGGTTGCTTGGCCCTGCTTCAACTTCTAGTTTGTTTTTTTCTTATTTGGCCTTTTTTTTTTTTTTGTTTTCTGGACTCTGTTGCTTCTGTTGTTTTAGTTTCTGGGTATTGGAGAATTTAAAGAAAATTTTCATTTTTAAGTGAAAATTGTAGTTTTTAAGATTCTGGGTATTAGAGCATTCAGCGAAATGTTTCATTTTTTTGTTTTTTTGTTTTGGATTCTGAGTATTGAAGAATTCGTTGAAATGTGTAGTTTTTAAGTGAAAATTGTGTTTGTTTTAGATTGTGGCTGCTTTGTTCTTTGTGTTGGTTGGATAATTCAGTGAAATGTGTCATTTTGAAGTGTAAAAACTGAAGTCTTGATTTTATTGTGTTTAATGCAGAGGATTCAACGAAGAAATTGTCAGAGGAGATATCTTCTATTATATGTGGTAAGCATTTGTTAGTTATAGCATGTAAAATTTGTTGGTATATTTGCTTTTCTCCCCTTCAGTTTGTTGTGTAGGAAACATAAGGAAAAAGTGAAATTTGAGTGTTTATCACATTCCTAGTGTGAAGTTGCTTATTAAAAAACTAATTTACTTGATTTAGTCATGAAAATGGAAGAGACTTTAAGGCAGTTGTTCTTTTTATGTAATTAGAGATTTTATTTGCAAATGAATAGCAATAGAGAAGAATGCTTTCCCATGTTAGGTGTAAGAAAATTTACTCATTTGAAACTACTTTATTTGAATTGGTTATGTGAATGCAATATATATATATATATATACATATTAATACTTGCCTAAAATAATATTCTTACTGTATTCTATGTTACCTGAACGAGTTTTGACTTCTGAGAATGCAAGAGATTTTGAGTTAGTTGCTAGTATCATGCAATTTGAGATTGTACTTGCATATAGATAAAATTCAAGTAGAATATGTTTCGTAATTAGTACAAGGATTAGAAACTCAAGTTTTCAGTTATCTACTTTCTAAATAGCTAAATTTAAAAGTTTTATTTTTTATTATTATTTTGGGAACAGGAAAAGCAGTTTTGGTTCATTTATTGTGGATTAAATCATTTATTCTATTCTGTGTTGAACTGGTGCTTCTGACAGTTCACGGGACTCAGAAGAAATGACCAACAATAGGAGTTCTTTAGGGAGAGTATCGTCCATACCATGGCTTTCAAACTTGTTTAACAATAACATATCATTTAAGCAGAAAGAAGTTTCACGTGAAAGGAAATAGACATGGGTTTTCAAGAAAACCAGGTTAATCGATTTAATCGGTTAATAAAGATGCGTGGAGAAAAACTAGGTACAAAAGCTATTATGGAGGTTTTTGATAAATTGGGAAGAGAAACTGGTTTGAAAGAGTACAATGTGTTAATCGCAGTTTGCTTGGAGTAAGGCTAGGACTAACGATGATAAAGTTGGTGCTCTAGGACATATTTCTAAGGCTTTTAAAACTTTCAAGAAAATGAGGGAACAGGGATTTCAGGTAGAGGACGGAACTTATGTTCCATTCTTTAGGTTACGTGTGAAAAAATATTTATTTATAATTTATTTTAATATTATAATTTATATATTTATATTTTTAGAATTAAATATTTATTTATTTAAAATTAAATACAAAAAATTAAGATAAATAATCTCTCAATTATAAGATCAATTTTAGAAAAGTTTAATTTTTTAGTTTATCCACTAATTAATTATATATAAATTTAAAGTATTTGTATAATTTTTTATGAATAATTTTTCAATATAAATTCAATTTTACTCTTAATTTTTCAAACAGTTTTATTTCTTAGTTTTTTCACACGGTATTAGAGTAATAACTAGTCGGACAAAAATTAAATGCTATACTATGAGAGCTACTTTAGAATCTTACAGGAGTTAAGTACTACATGATAAGAGTCATCTTTTGAATCTCAACGTTTGATTTGATCCTGTGATCTGTGATCTATATGTGCGATCCTGTGATTTGTGATATGTGTGTGCTTTGTGTTGGGTTTGTTTAATGTTTGGTGTGATTCGGTGGATATGTATGCTTTGTGTTGGGCTTAACGAAGACATCAAGTTTTAAAAGGAGAGTTTGTGACGCTCTAATCTCACATTAAGATATTCTAAGCATCTACTATGATATATAAGTTGAGAGTTAAACCCAAATCTGTGAGGTACCTTTTGTGAGACAAAATCGTGAGGCCTTCGGGTTAAAATAGATAATATCTCGTAGGTTAGGTGTGAGTCTTCACAAATAGTATCAGAGCAATACCTCAATTCTAGATCTTGAACCACTGTAAGTCTAAGAACTTGATCCTAATTCTGAAAATGAGGTAACTCCAATCTTTAACTCTATTTCTCAAAATGAGTGAATCTCTTAAAACTATAACTAGTGATTATGATTTGCCTATTGCTATTAGAAAAAGAACAAAAAAATGTACTAAACATCTACTATATCTAATCTCTAATCTTGTGTCATTTGAAAAGTTTTCACCATCCCAAAAAATTTTTTTCATGAGCTTAAACACTATTTTTATTTCAATTACATTATCCGAGGCATTATCTAGTGAGAAATTGAGACAAACCATGAAAATAGAAATTGAGACTTTAGAGAAAAATAAGACGTGAGAACTGGTATAGTTGTTTGAAGGAAAAAATCCAATTAGATATAAATGGATTTTCACTATAAAATACAAGGTAAATGATACTGTTAAAAGATATAAAGTCAAGTTGGTAGTTAAGGGCTACACTCAAACTAATAGAGTGGATTATTTGAAAACTTTTGCTCTAGTTATCAATATGAATACAGTTAGGATTTTGTTATCATTGACGATAAATTACAATTAGTAGTTTCAACAATTTAATGTAAAGAATGCTTTTCTACATAGTGATTTGGAAATATATATATATATATATATAAATGTTCTATCAGGATTTGAAGGTCATCTAGAAGCACACAAAGTATGAAAGTTGAAAATGCTTTATATGACCTTAAACAGTTTCTTAGGAATTGGTTTGGGAGATTTGCCAAAGTGATGCTATTAATAGAATATAAGTAGAATCAAGGAGATCACACATTGTTTATCAAGCATTTTGATTCAGGGAGAGTCATAATTCTATTAGTGTATATTGATGATATAATTACAATCGAAGATGATGAAAAAGAGAGAAAAATCTCTAAAACAATGTTTGGTTAGAGAATTTGAGATAAAAGAGTTAGGAAGATTGAAGTACTTCCTAGGTTTTAAAGTAGTTTACTAATGGCATGAGATTTTCATTTTATAACAGAAATATGTGATAGATCTTTTGAAAAAAATTGATAAGCTCACATGTAAACTTACAAATATCCATCTTAATCATAAACTTGAAAAAGCTAATGAATATACTATTGTAGATAGAGAGATGTAGTAAAAATTAGTTAGAAGACTAATTTATCTCTTATATGCTAGATGATATAGCATATGCTATAAGTGTGATAAGTTAATTTATGCACAATTTTAACGAAGTGTACCTACAGGTTATCTATTGTATATTGCACTATTTGTAGGCCAAACTTAAAAGAGTTATTTTATTTAAAAGAAATTCAGAATTAATTCTAAAGACATATAAAAATGTGAATTATGCAAATTTAATAATTTATAAAAAAATCTATCTTAGGCTATTGCACTTTCTTAAGTAATAATTTTGTGACAATTGAAAAGTAAAAAATAAAATGTGATGTCAAGCTTTGGGTGACCTCAATAATGATCTTTTACAGGGAGATTCCCATAAGTCATGGCCCTCAGATTTAACAAGAGCAATTACAACTCTTGATTCCTGCTGAGCTGGAGATTAAAGTAATATTCGGTTTATTACATGAGAGAATTGCAATAAGGGTTAATGAATAAAAATTTCGATGATTTCATGCTGACCTTACGTTAAAAGGTCTCAGTATTATTGGAATTGTTAATCTTTTCTAGATTAAATTGAATTCCAATTTGGAAAAGTTGAACGAGCTCGGACCACTTATGATTCTATGAATACAGCTTGTTCAAAAAAATGTGAACTTGTTCTAAAGGCTTCTAGTGTTCACATTTACTGACTTTAGTGTTCTATCTTTCATTGCCTTAGAATATTCTAGAGTGGTCAGTTCTTCTAACTCTAATAACGAGAAAAAGTGAATTGGTTATTACTTTTATATATTGATAAGGGATTTGAATTTTTCAAAAATATATTTTCAAATGTTTATTGAGTATCTCTATTTAATTATAAATATCAAATTACTAAGTCAATACATTTATTTTAATTATTTTTTAAAATGTTAAACTCCATGACCGATGGGTAAGATAATAATCTAAGTAATCCAATCTATTCTTTTTCTTGTTATTTGTTCTCAGATGGGAAACAGACCATTTTTATAATATGATGAATACATTATTATTGTTATTATTATATGTTAGTGTCTTGTTTAGAGTAGTTCAGTTTTTAGGTTGAACAAATTTTTGTGCGTTGACTAAGGATGTTTTTTATAGCTTCGTGATAAGGATTCCCGTCGTTTACGTTAGACTATTGAGTGAATAAAACGATATGACATATAATCGAAATAAACGTGAAGTTGAAAAATACTAAGACAAATTTTTTCTTAAGTTTAATTCTCTGAATATGTCTTGGTTCAAGTAATTGAAGAAATTGAAGAAATTTGAAGTTGGAAAAGTTGAATGGCTTTTATTTTTTTTTTTGGTTTTTCCACCTGAATTAATGGGTCAAGTTGTTAGCATTGGTACCTACCAACTCCAAAATAAAACACCCAATATGAAGCTTTGCCTGTTAACAAATCCACATATGATTATTCAATGGATCCAAAATTCTACCAATATGTCAAGTCAGGCAAAGTTTGTTCCCTCAAACATGTTCTTTATCAAAATCCAGGACTACTTTTCAAGGTAACTCCTCAGGAAAACACAGCTCTCCATATTGCCGTGAAGTTTGGACACATGACTATAGTCACTGAGATTTATGGCAGGTGTGGATCACTCCTGTCAAAGCAGAATTTAGATGGAGATACACCTCTACATATTGCTGCAAGGGCAGGTCACTTATCTATAATTGATTTTCTGGTGAAAGAAATCTTTTCTTCAATGTGGAGAGAAACTGATGAAGATGAAATCATTGGCAAGTTTGAGATTCTGAGAATGGGAAACAAGGAAAACAACACAGTTTTGCATGAAGCTGTCAGGAATGGTCATCTTAGAGTGGTTCAACTCTTGCTAAAGATCGATCCTAAGTTGGCTTGTTTAGAAAATTTTGCTGGTGAATCGGCTTTATATCTTGCTTCTAGAGAAGGAATGCTAGAGATAGTGAATGAAATTCTCACATCAACAAATAAGTCGGCAGCTTATGGGGGTTCAGAAGGCCAAACAGCTTTGCATGCTGCTGTCATTGGGAGCCATTATGGTAATTTTTCATGTTTGGTTCATTTATTTTCACAAACTTCTCTTACACAAACTCTTGCAATTCTATTTTCTGTACTAAAATAGAGATTGTAGATTTCAAGACCTGCTAAGTATTTCCCTTTGATAATGCTTCTGGTTTTCTTTATCTGAACAAATTTTCCCTGTAAATGTTAGGTACCATGCAAGCCCTCCTAAGAGCCAAACGACAGTTGATCAGAGAAGTTGACCATCATGGAAGAACCTCTCTCCACCATGCAGCATCTCTAGGAGACCATAAAACAGTGAAACAATTACTGGATCTTGATAATGCTGTTGTATATATATTGGACAAACATGGTCACTCACCACTTTATGTTGCAGCTAGCAATGGTCATGTTAATGTCATAAGAGAGATCATTCGGCAATGTCCGGATTCTGCAGAACTTCTTGATTTATGTGGGCGCAATGCTCTACATGCTGCCATCCTTAGTGGGAAAGGTAATGTTATCAGGTATATGCTGGAAACAGCAGAAACAGAAGGACTCATAAACCAGCCTGATAATGATGGAAATACGCCTTTGCTTTTGGCGACTATTGGAAGGAAAATTTGGATTGTTCGGTACTTGATATGGGATAAAAGAGTGGATCAAAGAACCAAGAACAAAAATGGCCAAACTGCATTTGATCTTGATCCTTCCATCAGAGAATCATGTCTAACAGTTCCCAGGGTATGAAGATATTTGACTAGCTTATAATTTTTTATGAGAAAATTGGTACACAGTACACTGTTTTAACCTAGTTGGTCACTTCTAGCTGCTATTATATGCAAGACCAAATCATGCATACCATCTCAAAATTTTGATCATTACTATATTACAGAAGGCGGTCTCAATTATCCGGAGAAAATTCAGCTCCCTACCTACTGGGAGCATCAGAGAAGACATTCCTCCAAGTGCAAACCATGAAGCAGAGGATGCCAAAATGCAGTCTTACAGGCAAATGGGACAGACCCTCTTAATGGTAACAACGCTAATCACTACTGTTACATTTGCAGCAGCATTTACAATGCCTGGAGGCTACCAACAGAATGGTGCCAAACAAGGCATGGCGCTTTTGGATACAAGCAAAAACCTTAAATTGTTTGTTATTTACGATGTCATTGCAATGACCTGCTCCACAACAGCAGCTTGTCTCCTATTTTGGGGAGTTATAAGTGGCAAAAAATCCTACCCATATTGCCTAGCAAGCGCTACATTGCTGACATACATAGCGCTACAAGCGACTGCAGGAGCGTTCTTGGCAGGCATTAATACTGTTTTGCCTCAACAGCCTTATATTGTTATTATGAGTATTGTGCTAGACATTGGTTTCCACATAAGCACATGCCTGCTTCTTTTCCATTTGTTTAAGGTTTTTCATGTCTCCGAAGTTTCTCAGTTCTTCATTTCCCATCTTTATAAGCTCAAGTTCAAAAAAAGATGATTGTGAGAAATTTTGTTCATTTTATACTCCAATGCTCCTAATATACATTATGAATATTGATGCTCCTTTAAAAGTTATTGCTAGCATTGGGTTCATTTTGCACGAGCACGAGTAGTAAAAGAGAAGAAAGAAATTAAACCTTTGCCCTTTTAAACTTTTATAAACTTGAAAGTAAATGATTGTTCTCTCACTATGATGTGATCTGTTTATAGAATATTAAATTCTCAGAGATGAATTTCTAACAATCTCATATACAAAAATATACATATAATTGGTGCTGTTAAATGTGGGACGAAATTTACTTTTTTTTATTTTTTATTTGGGGAGTAATAATTCGTGCAATGACTGCAACCGTATGTAACCCTTTGCCAATTGAAACTAATGAAGTCATAGCCCTTGATTGAATTTCATGTACTGGCATTCAAAACAATGCTGTTTATGTTCTCTCAAGAAATCCCAAGATGGAGATAGGGCAGTCAACAACTTTAATGAAACTCCTCTTGCAAGTTGCAATCGTTTGGTCTTCCAATGACCATGGAATGGAACTGCATCCTGGGCAGTTTCTCTCGTGGTGGCATATTTGTGGTTACAATGTGCATGTCAAACATGTAAAGCCAGGTTTCTGAATCAGATATCAATCATGGAAGTATATGCATATAAATATACGTTCATGGAAATTTCATGTTCAGAGACTCAAATTGCTGAACTATTTTTTTTTTTTTTGTAAATTGCAGCATTTAACCTTAAAAAACCATTGAAGAAACTGCCTATGCAAGCAAGCTAAATCCCTGAAAATGGTTTCAAGTCATTGAGACAGGGTGAGGTTAATAGAGAAAATAGATAGCTATACATTTCACAACAAAAGAATTTTCCATTTTTGGGCAAAGCACCAAAAGTACTTTATTGTTACTTTAATTATTTTTTATTTAAAAAATGTTTAAAAATTCACATTATTAAATTTTAGTAATTTTTATTTTTTCACAAGGAGTTATTTAAAAAAAAACCCTTAAATTTTGACCTCTTAATATCTTTAATAAATATTCTAATTCTAATTATTTACTTTTTTTTAAACTCAAATTCTAGTTATTTAATTTTATAAATTAAAATGAGAAACAAATATAATTATAGCAAAAAAATATATAAATTACAGCCAAGAAAAAAATTGACAGAAACCCTAGATTAGAAAAAAAAACAAAAAAAAAAGAAAACTTTGTAAAAATCTGATACAACTAAACAAAAGAGCAGTTAAAAGGGCTACAGCAACCAAAAGCCCAAAGCCCTTTCCACTCATGTTCAACTTCAGCTTCACCATTCATGTGAGCTCCAAAACTACTTTTTTCAAATGACAGCTTCCAAAGCCAAAACCCTTTCCCCTTTCTTTAAAACTGTCGTTAAAAAGGCCACTAAGGTGTTCTCCTTACCTGCCGGTGACAGAACTGCAAAACATTTCGTCTCCTCGCTTGAAACATCATCATCTTCATCACCATCACCATCACCATCATCCACTTCCTTCACAAAACTTTCACCTAAACCTACCAAGAAACCAGCCCCTCATGGTATCCTCAGCAGCCGGTTGCTTGGCCCCGCTACAACTTCTAGTTTGTTTCTTTTTTTTTTTTTGGCTTTTTTTTTGGACTCTGGGTTTTGTTGTTTACGTTGTTTTAGTTTCTGGGTATTGGAGAATTTAATGAAAATTTTCATTTTTAAGTGAAAATTGTAGTTTTTAAGATTCTGGGTATTAGATATTTCAGCGAAGTGTTTCATTTTTATGTTTTTTTTGGATTCTGGGTATTGAAGAATTCGTTGAAATGTGTAGTTTTTAAGTGAAAATTGTATTTGTTTTAGATTCGGGGTGCTTTGTTCTTTGTGTTGGTTGGAGAATTCAGTGAAATGTGTCATTTTGAAGTGTAAAAACTGAAGTCTTGATTTTGTTGTGTTTAATGCAGAGGATTCAATGGAGAAATTCTCAGAGGAGATATCTTCTATATTATGTGGTAGGCATCTGTTAGTTATAGCATGTAAAATTTTTTGGTATATTTGCTTTCTCTCCTTCAGCTTATTGTGTAGGAAACATAAGGAAAAAGTAAAATTTGAATGTTTATCACATTCCTAGTGTGAAGTTGCTTATTAAAAAACTAATTTACTTGATCTAGTCATGAGAAGGGAAGAGACTTTAAGGCAGTTGTTCTTTTTATGCAATTAGAGATTTTACTTGCAAATGGATAGCAATAGAGAAGAATGCTTTAGCGTGTTACATGTGTAAGAAAATTTACTCATTTGAAACAACTTTATTTGAATTGGTTATGTGAATGCAATATACATATATATAACTTGCCTAAAATAATATTTTTACTGTATTCTATGTTAACTGAACGAGTTCTATCTTCTGAGAATGCAAGAGATTTTGAGTTAGTTGCTAGTATCATGCAATTTGAAATTGTACTTGCATATAGATAAAATTCAAGTAGAATATGTTCCATAATTAGTACATGGATTGGAACCTCAAGTTTTTAGTTAGCTACTTTCTAAATAGCTAAATTTAACAGTTTTATTTTTTGTTATTATTTTGGGAACAGGAAAAGTGGTTTTGGTTCATTTATTATGGATTAAATCATTTATTCTATTCTGTGTGCAGTTGGGGCTTCTGACAGTTCACGGGACTAAGAAGAAATGACCAACAATAGGAGTTCTTTAGGGAGAGTATTGTACATACCATGGCTTTCAAACTTGTCTAACGATAACATATCACCTAAGCAGAAAGAAGTTTCACATGAAAGGAAACAGAAATGGGTTTTCAAGAAAACCCAGGTTAATCGATTTAACCAGTTAATAAAGATGTGTGGAAATAAACTGGGTACAAAAGTTACTATGGAGGTTTTTTATAAATTGGGAAGAGAAACTGGTTTGAAAGAGTACAATGCATTAATAGCAGTTTGCTTGGCTAGGACCAGCGATGATGAAGATGTTGCTTTGGAACATATTTCTGAGGCTTTTAGAACTTTTAAGAAAATGAGGGAACGGGGATTTCAGGTAGAGGAGGAAACTTATGGTCCATTCCTTAGGTATTTTATTGACATGGGTATGGTAGAAGAGTTTCATTTTTTCTGTGGACCTATCAAAGAAGGGAATCCGAGTTCTCTTTCAAGGTTAGGTTACCATGAGATGCTGTTGTGGATTAGAGTCAACAATGAAGAAAAGATTCTAGGACTTTGTAATTATATTGCAGCTGACAATGGGGAAGATGATTTTGAATTAAAAGGTATGGATCTAGGTTCAGAAGTCTGTATCATTGGTTTAGTTATTATCTATTGATTTTTATTTGAATATATAAAGTTTATCTTCCAGGTAAGCTTTTCTCTTTTTTGGTTTTTTCATGTTATGCAATCGGAGGGGTGGGGGGTGGGCGGAAGTTTTAACATTACTTAGCTTACAACATTTTTGCTTGTCTTGCAGAAAATTATTTGTCAGCACTTTGTGTAACTGGAAGGAAAAAGGACCTCATGCAACTGTTAGAAGTTATTGATGTAACAAGAATTTCATCTGTAAACCAAGTTGAAAAAATGTTCCAATCATTGGGGAGGCTTTCATTAGAGTCATTCACTGAGAAATTCCTTTTGGCAGTCAAAAAATGTGGTATGTTCATGATTTACTCATTTTTTTCTCTTAACAGGTAGGCTTCTAAATCTTATCTGGTGAAGTGTTGGTGACAACTGGTAACTGATCTGATTTTCTGCAGAAAATAATGTTTTGCTAATCTGTATCTTTGAAACTGTTAATTTTCAATGATAACATTTTCATAAATTTGGTCTTTCTAGAATTTAGCAGTTTCCAAGGGAATTAATTTAATGTTGAGAGCTTGGCACATGAATAAGTTCTGTTTCTACTATCATGTATAAAGTATGTCGTCTCCCTTTCCCCTTCTCAGATGAAGGATTCGGATTGCATAACTCTACATAATTAGTTGTTTTAAAACAATCTAGGATCTGTTCAAAGATTACAAATTTGATAAACGTATGGATCTTGTCTGGTATGCATTTTAATATGGTAAATTTGATAGTGCAGGTTATGGAATGGATGAAATCTCGAGGCTCATCTTTAGTTATGCTAGCGGCATTCCTAATTTAGCGGTGAGGAACTTCTCATGAAAGCTGCTGGTAATTTCCTTCAGGCCATGATTCTATGAAACACATGTGGTTTGCTTGTCTGTTCAAAAGGAAAATTTAATTTTACTTGTCTTTTTAGCATCATAGGGTTCATTTCGGAAGCATTATCTTTTCAGCCCTTATCTGTTGTCGATAATTTGAGATTTTTTAGATGATATGCCTTGTTTCTTGTTAATGCTTTAAACTATTGATCTGCATCTTGACTTTAAGCAATCATGAATGTGAATGTTTGTCGTCAGTAGGTCCTTCTACTTATAAATTCAAAATTTTGGGAGTTCAAAAGGTTCTTGTAGGCAATTAAGTCATTTTCTTGTCTTGCAGCTTCTTATTCATCTTATGTCTCTTTAAGCTTGTTGTCTATTGCAAGTTGAGGATTTTTTTCTGAAATTCTAAAGCTTGCACATGAAATTCAAAATAACGCCTTCATTGGCATTATATGAGAAGCTCATTACCTATTGCTGTAATTTACGCAAGGTATGGGCAGATTTTGTAAGTAAAAGGAGCAAAATACCAAATTTTAAGTCTTTTGAACCACAGTGTCATTTAAATTGTTCTAATGTGATTGCCTCTTTCATTCAGTACTAAACAACTTTACAAAGAAACTTTCGATGGTAAAATCTTACGGGATTTGTACCAGCATTTTGTAAAGTCACAACCAGAGCTAGTGGATCTTAAAGGGATAGTTATGGGACTTCCTGTTGTGTAGCCAAATCTTTGACCCTAGAAAGCAAGATAAAAGCATTAATTTTGTGAATTTTTACATAATCAATATTTCATTTATTGTAATGCAGGTGCATCTAGTTCTTGACATAGTTGAACAGATGTGTGAAGAGGGTTTGAGCTTGTCTATAGAGACACTACATGGCTTATTGCATGCTAGCGAGGAGAGTTATGAGTATAATTTGGTATGTTATATCAAACACTATTGCACTTGATTTTTTTTTCTTTAAGTATCACATACTGCACGTATTTAAATATCTTTGACTCCAATGTGCATCACATGTTGGTTTCATAGGTTCATTCATACAACTAATTTACTCAATAAGATGGGATAATGTTGTCCTAAGTTTAAGTGACTTCATTTGTCGGAATTTGATATTGGTTAAGATAAAAGGCAAATGGCTTTGATTCATTCTGAAAAATTGCCTGTGAGCAATGGGCATTGTTAATTCATGCTACAATTCAGATTATCATGTTATTTGATTATTTGCAAGTATCATAAATTTGATTAATTTGATTTATTTTACCCTTTTTTTCATTTTATTTCATTGTAAGGTTTGGAGAATTTATTCTCTGATTTGCCACCATAATTTGAAACCAAAAGATGGGACCTTCAGGAGTATGATAAGTTTGTGTGTGAAAATGAAAGATGTCGGCATTGGTGATTGGGTTTTGTCTTTTTTTGTTGGGCTTTTCGAGGTTTATGTTTGTTGGGTTTCTCAGCTTTGGGTGACCTCAACAATGATCTTTTACAGTGAGATTCCTATAATTCATGGCCACAAAGATCAATTACAACTCTTGATTGCTGCTGAGCTGGAGATTAAAGTAGTATTCGGTTTATTACATGAGAGAATGACAATAAGGGTTAATGAATAAAAATTTTCATGATTTCATGCTGAGCTCACATTAAAAGGTCTCAGTGAATTGATCTTTTCTAGATTAAATTGAATTCCAATTTGGAAAAGTTGAACGAGTTCGGGCCACTCGTGATGCTATGACCACAGCTTGTTCAAAAAAATGTGAACTTGTTCTAACAGCTTCTAGTGTTCACATTTATTGACTTTAGTGTTGTATCTTTCATTGCCTCAGAATATTCTAGATTGGTCTGTTCTTCTAACTATAATAACGAGAAAAAGTGAATTGGTTATTACTTTTATATATTGATAAGGAATTTAAATTTTTCAAAAATATATTTTCAAATGTTTATTGTGTATCTCTATTTAATTATAAATATCAAATTACTAAGTCAATACATTTATTTGAATTATTTTTTAAAATGTTAAACTCCATGATTGGTGGGTAAGGCAATAATCCAGTTATCCAGTCTATTCTTTTCCTTGTTATTTGTTCTCAGATAGGAAATAGACCATTTTTATAATATAATTAATACATTATTATTATTATTATTATTATTATTATTATTATTATTATTATTATATGTTAGTGTCTTGTTTAGAATAGTTCAGTTTTTAAGTTGGACAAATTTTTGTGCGTTGACTAAGGATGTTTTTTATAGCTTTGTGGTAAGAACTCCCGTTGTTTACGTTTGATTATTGAGTGAATAAAACGATATGACATTTAGTCCAAATAAATGTGAAGTTGAAAAACACTAAGACAAAATTTTTCTTCAGTTTAATTCTCTGGATATGTCTTGTTCAAGTAATTGAAGAAATTTGAAGTTGAAAAAGTTGAATGGCTTTTATTTTTTTGATTGTTCTACCTGAATTAATGGGTGAAGTTGTTCGCATTGGTACCTAACAACTTCAAAATAAAACACCCAATATGAAGCTTTACCTGTTAAACAAATCCACATATGATTATTCAATGGATCCAAAATTCTACCAATATGTCAAGTTAGGCAAAGTTTGTTCCCTCAAACATGTTCTTTATCAAAATCCAGGACTACTTTTCAAGGTAACTCCTCAGGAAAACACAACTCTCCATATTGCTGTGAAGTTTGGACACATGACTATTGTCACTGAGATTTATGGTTAAGTGTGGATCACTCCTGACAAAGCAGAATTTAGATGGAGATACACCTCTACATATTGCTGCAAGGGCAGGTCATTTATCTATAATTGATTTTCTGGTGAAAGAAATCTTTTCTTCAACATGGAGAGAAACTGACGAAGATGAAATCATTGACAAGTTTGAGATTCTGAGAATGGAAAACAAGGAAAACAACACAGTTTTGCATGAAACTGTCAGGAGCGGTCATGTTAGAGTGGTTCAACTGTTGCTAAAGGTCGATCTTAAGTTGGCTTGTTTAGAAAATTTTGCCGGTGAATCGCCTTTGTATCTTGCTTCTAGAGAAGGAATGCTAGAGATAGTGAATGAAATTCTAACATCAACAAATAAGTCCGCAGCTTATGGGGGTTCAGAAGGCCAAACAGCTTTGCATGCTGCTGTCATTGAGAGCCATTATAGTAATTTTCATGTTTGGTTCATTTGTTTTCACAAACTTCTCTTACACAACATTGAAGTTCCTGCTGTTTCAAAACTCTTGCAATTCTAATTTCTGTCCTAAAATAGAGATTGTAGATTTCAAGAGCTGCCAAGTATTTCCGTTTGATAATGCTTCTGGTTTTCTTTATCTTAACAAATTTTCTGTGTAAATGTTAGATATCATGCAAGCCCTCCTAAGAGCCAAACGACAGTTGATCAGAGAAGTTGACTATCATGGAAGAACCTCTCTCCACTATGCAGCATCTCTAGGAGACCATAAAACAGTGAATCAATTACTGGATCTTGATAATACTGTTGTATATATATTGGACAAACATGGTCACTCACCACTTCATGTTGCAGCTAGCAATGGTCATGTTAATGTTATAAGAGAGATCATTTGGCAATGTCCGGATTCTGCAAAACTTCTTGATTTATGTGGGCGCAGTGCTCTACATGCTGCCATCCTTAGTGGGAAGGTAATGTCATCAGGTATATGCTGGAAATAGCAGAAACAGATGGACTCATAAACCAGCCTGATAATGATGGAAATACGCCTTTGCTTTTGGCGACTATTGGAAGGAAAATTTGGATTGTTCGGTACTTGATATGGGATAAAAGTGTGGATCAAAGAACCAAGAACAAAAATGGCCAAACTGCATTTGATCTTGATCCTTCCATCAGAGAATCATGTCTAACAGTTCCCAGGGTAAGAAGATATTTGACTAGCTTATTTTTTTTATTAGAAAATTGGTACACAATGCACTGGTTTAATCTTGTTGGTCACTTATGGCTGCTGTTTTATGCAAGACCAGTTCATGCATACCATCTCAAAATTTTGATCATTACTATATTTCAGAAGGCAGTCTCAATTATCTGGAGAAAATTCAGCTCCCCACCTACTTGGAGCATCAGAGAAGACATTCCTCCAAGTGCAAACCATGAAGCAGAAGATGCCAAAATGGAGTCTTACAGGCAAATGGGACAGACCCTCTTAATGGTAACAACACTAATCACTACTGTTACATTTGCAGCAGCATTTACAATGCCTGGAGGCTACCATCAGAATGGTGCCAAACAAGGCATGGCGCTTTTGGATACAAGCAAAACCCTTAAAATGTTTGTTATTAACGATATCATTGCAATGACCTGCTCCACAACAGCAGCTTGTCTGCTATTTTGGGGAGTTATTAGTGGCAAAAAATCCTACCCATATTGCCCTAGCAAGCGCCACATTGCTGACATACATAGCGCTGCAAGCGACTGCAGGAGCGTTCATGGCAGGCATTGAGGTTGCTTTGCCTCAACGGCCTTATATTGTTACTATGCGTATTGTGCTAGGCATTGGTTTCCACATAAGCACACGCCTGCTTCTTTTCCATTTGTTTAAGGTTTTTCATGTCTCTGAAGTTTCTCAGTTCTTCATTTCCCATCTTTATAAGCTCAAGCTCAAAAAAAGATGATTGTGAGAAAATTTGTTCATTTTATATTCCAATGCTCCTAATATACAATATGAATATTGATGCTCCTTTACAAGTTATTGCTAGCATTGGGTTCATTTTGCACAAGTAGTAAAAGCGAAGAAAGAAATTAATCTTTTACCCTTTTAAACTTTTATAAACTTGAAAGTAAATGATTGATCTCTCACTGTCACGTGTTCTGTTTATAAAATGTTAAATTCTCAGAGATCAATCATTGTCAATCTCACATTGCATGAATATCGTCCCACATTCACAGCAATGATTGCAACTGCATAAATGTAGAGATATTTAGTTATATTAAAGAGAGATTGGTGAAAAGAACTAAATCGATGTTATGGCGTACGTTAATAACATAATATAGTAGGAATACAAAGTTTTAAAAAGAATAAGAAAAGGATAAAAAAAAAGACAGAAAAAGGGGTGGATATTGCTACTTCAAACAAAGAGCTCGACAGATAGTCATAGAACTGATTCAAATTTCAGCAATACCTAACTGAAAATGTGATGAAAATAATAAAAATGGTTTCTTTGTGCAATAATATCATGACTATAAATTTCAAGGCTAACCCTTTGCCAACTGAAAGTAATGAAGTCATAGCCCTTGATTGAATTTCTTGTACTGGCATTGAAAGCAATATTGTTTATGCTCTCTCAGGAAATCCGAAGATAGAGATGATGGCAGTCAACTTATTGCAATTGTTTGGTCTTCCAATGACCGTGGAATGGAACTGCATCCTAGGCATATTCTCTCATTGTGGCATATTTGAGGTTTCAATGTGCATCTCAAAATTTTGAAGCCGGGTTTCTGAATCAGATATCAATCATGGAAGTATATAGATATAAATGTACATTCATGGAAATTTTATGTTCAGAAACTCAGGATGCTGAACTCTTTTTTTTGCAAACTGCAACATTTAACCTTAAAAAACCATTGAAGAAACTGGCTTTGCAAAGCAAGCTAAATCCCTGAAAATGGTCTTAGTTCATTGAGACAAGGTCAGGTCAATGGAGAAAATAGATAGATTACATTTCACAACAAAAAAATTTTCCATTTTTAGGCAAAGCACCAAAAGTATTTTCTTGAAGTTCAGTTTTATTGTTACTTTAATTATTTTGTTTTTATTTAAAAAATGTTTAAAAATTCACACTATTAAATTTTAGTAATTTTTATTTTTTTTCACAAGGAGTTATCTAAAAAAAACTTAAATTTTGGCCACTTAATATATTTCATAAATATTCTAATTCTAATTATTTACTTTTTTTTACTTAAATTCTAGTTATTTAATTTTATAAATTAAAATGAGAAACAAATATAAATTATAGCCAAATATATATAAAAATTACAGCCAGAAAAAAATTGAAAGAAACCCTAGATTAGAAAAAAAAAAAGAAAATTTTATAAAAATCTGATACAAATAAATAAAAGAGCAGTTAAAAGGGCTACAGCAACCACTCCAAAAGCCCAAAACCCTTTCCACTCATCTTCACCTCCAGCTTCACCGTTCATGTGAGCTCCAAAACTGCTCTTTTCAAATGACAGCTTCCAAAGCCAAAACCCTTTCCTCTCTCTTTAAAACTGTCGTTAAAAAGGCCACTAAGAAGTCCTCCTTACCTGCCGGTGACAGAACTGTAAAACATTTCGTCTTCTCGCTGGAAACATCGTCATCTTCACCACCACCACCATCATCATCCACTTCCTTCACAAAACGTTCACCTAAACCTACCAAGAAACCAGCCCCTCATGGTATCCTCAGCAGCCGGTTGCTTGGCCCAGCTTCAACTTCTAGTTTGTTTTTACTTTTTTTGGCTTTTTTTTTTCTGCATTCTGGCTTTTGCTGTTTCCGTTGTTTTAGTTTCTGGGTATAGGAGAATTTAATGAAAATTTTCATTTTTAAGTGAAAATTGTAGTTTTTAAGATTCTGGGTTTTAGAAAATTCAGCGAAGTGTTTCATTTTTATGTTTTTTACTTTGGAATCTGGGTATTGAAGAATTCGTTGAAATGTGTAGTTTTTAAGTGACAATTCTATTTGTTTTAGATTCTGGCTGCTTTGTTCTTTGTGTTGGTTGGAGAATACAGTGAAATGTGTCATTTTGAAGTGTAAAAACTGAAGTCTTGATTTTGCTGTGTTTAATGCAGAGGATTCAATGGAGAATTTGTCAGAGGAGATATCTTCTATATTATGTGGTAGGCATTTGTTAGTTATAGCATGTAAATTTTGTTGGTATAATTGTTTTCTCTCCTTCAGTTTATTGTGTAGGAAACATAAGGAAAAGGTAAAATTTGAATGTTTATCACATTCCTAGTGTGAAGTTGCTTATTAAAAAACTAATTTACTTGATCTAGTCATGAGAAGGGAAGAGACTTTAAGGCAGTTGTTCTTTTTATGCAATTAGAGATTTTACTTGCAAATGGATAGCAATAAAGAAGAATGCTTTCGCATGTTACATGTGTAAGAAAATTTACTCATTTGAAGCTACTTTATTTGAGTTGGTTATGTTAATGCAATATATATATATAAACTTGCCTAAAATAATTTTTTTACTGTATTCTATGTTAACTGAATGAGTTCTGACTTCTGAGAATGCAAGAGATTTTGAGTTAGTTGCTAGTATCATGCAATTTGAAATTGTACTTGCATATGGATAAAATTCAAGTAGAATATGTTCCATAATTAATACATGGATTGGAACCTCAAGTTTTCAGTTAGCTACTTTCTAAATAGCTAAATTTAAAAGTTTTATTTTTTATTGTTATTTTGGGAACAGGAAAAATGGTTTTGGTTCATTTATTATGGATTAAATCATTTATTCTATTGTGTGTGCAGTTGGTGCTTCTGACAGTTCATGGGACTCAGAAGAAACGACCAACAATAGGAGTTCTTTAGGGAGAGTATTGTCCATACCATGGCTTTCAAACTTGTCTAACAATAACATATTACCTAAGCAGAAAGAAGTTTCACGTGAAAGGAAACAGAAATGGGTTTTCAAGAAAACCCAGGTTAATCGATTTAACCGGTTAATAAAGATGTGTGGAGATAAACTGGGTACAAAAGCTACTATGGAGGTTTTTGATAAATTGGGAAGAGAAACTGGTTTGAAAGAGTACAATGCGTTAATAGCAGTTTGCTTGGAGAAGGCTAGGACCAGTGATGATGAAGATAGTGCTTTGGAACATATCTCTGAGGCTTTTAGAACTTTTAAGAAAATGAGGGAACGGGGATTTCAGGTAGAGGAGGGAACTTATGGTCCATTCCTTAGGTATTTTATTGACATGGGTATGGTAGACGAGTTCCACTTTTTCTGTGGACCTATCAAAGAAGGGAATCCAAGTTCTCTTTCAAGGTTAGGTTACTATGAGATGCTGTTGTGGATTAGAGTCAACAATGAAGAAAAGATTCAAGAACTTTGTAATTATATTGCAGCTGACAATGGGGAAGATGATTTTAAATTAAAAGGTATGGATCTAGGTTCAGAAGTCTGTATCATTTTTTTAGTTATTATCTATTGATTTTTATTTGAATATGTAAAGTTTATCTGCCAGGTAAGCTTTTCTCTTTTTTGGTTTTTTCATGTTATGCAATCTGGGGGGTGGGCGGAAGTTTTAACATTACTGAGCTTACAACATTTTTCTTGTCTTGCAGAAAATTATTTGTTAGCACTTTGTGTAACTGGAAGGAAAAAGGACCTCATTCAACTGTTAGAAGTTATTGATGTAACAAGAATTTCATCTGTAAACCAAGTTGAAAAGATATTCCAATCATTGGGGAGGCTTTCATTAGAATCATTCACTGAGAAATTCCTTTTGGCATTCAAAAGATGTGGTATGTTCATGATCTACTCATTTTTTTTCTCTAGCAGGTAGGCTCCTAAATCTTGTCTGGTGAAATTTTGGTGACAAATGGTAACTGACCTGATTTTCTGCTAAAAATAATGTTTTGCTAATCTGTATCTTTGAAACCGTTAATTTTCAATGATAACATTTTCATAAATTTGGTCTTTTTAGAATTTAGCAGTTTCCAAGGGCATTAATTTAATGTTGAGAGCTTGGCACATGCATAAGTTCTGTTTCTACTATCATGTATAAAGTATGTCATCTCCCTTTCTCCTTCTCAAATGAAGGATTCGGATTCTATAACTCTAGATAATTAGTTGTTTTAAAACAATCTAGGATCTGTTCAAAGATTACAAATTTGACAAAAGTATGCGTCTTGTCTTGTATGCATTTTAATATGGTAAATTTGATAGTGCAGGCTATGGAATGGATGAAATCTCGAGGCTCATCTTTAGTTATGCTAGTGGCATTCCTAATTTAGCGGTGAGGAACTTCTCATGAAAGCTGCTGGTAATTTCCTTCAGGCCATGATTCTATGAAACACATGCGGTTTGCTTGTCTATTCAAGAGGAAAATTTAATTTTGCTTGTCTTTATAGCATCATAGGGTTCATTTCCGAAGCATCATCTTTTCAGCACTTATCTGTCATCGATAATTTGAGATTTCTGGGATGATATGCCTTGTTTCTTGTTCATGCTTTAAACTATTGATCTGCATCTTGACTTTAAGCAATCATGAATGTGAATGTTTGTCGTCAGTAGGTCCTTCTAATTATAAATTCAAAATTTTGGGAGTTCAAAAGGTTCTTGTAGGCAATTAAGTCATTTTCTTGTCTTGCAGCTTCTTATTTATTTTATGTCTCTTTATGCTTGTTGTCTATTGTAGGTTGAGGATTTTTTTCTGAAATTCGAAAGCTTGCACATGAAATTCAAGATAACACCTTCATTGGCATCATATGAGAAGCTCATTACCTATTGCTGTGATTTATGCAAGGTACAGGCAGATTCTGTTAGTAAAAGGAGCAAAAAACCAAATTTTATGTCTTTTGAACAACAGTGTCATTTAAATTGTTCTAATGTGATTGCCTCTTTCATTCAGTACTAAACAACTTTACAAAGAAACTTTCGATGGTAAAATCTTAGGGGATTTGTACCAGCATTTTGTAAAGTCACAACCAGAGCTAGTGGATCTTAAAGGGATGGTTATGGGACTTCCTGTTGTGTAGCTAAATCTTTGACCCTAGAAAGCAAGATAAAAGCATTAATTTTGTGAATTTTCACATAATCAATGTTTCATTTATTGTAATGCAGGTGCATTTAGCTCTTGACATAGTTGAACAGATGTGTGAAGAGGGTTTGAACTTGTCTATGGAGACACTACATGGCTTATTGCATGCTAGCGAGGAGAGTTATGAGTATAATTTGGTATGATATATCAAACACTATTGTGCTTGATTTTTTTTCTTTAAGTATCACATACTGTACATATTTAAATATCTTTGACTCCAATATTCATCACTTGTTGGTTTCATAGGTTCATTCATACAACTTATTCACTCAATAAGAAGGAATAATGTTGTCCTAAGTTTAAGTGACTTCATTTGTCAGAATTTGATTTGCTTAAGATAAAAGGCAAAGGGCTTTGATTCGTTCTGAAAAATTGCCCCTGGGCAATGGGCATTGTTAATTCGTGCTACAATTCAATTATCATGTTATTTGATGATTTACAAGTATCATAAATTTGATTAATTTGATTTATTTTACCCTTTTTTTCATTTTATTTCATTGTAAGGTTTGGAGAATTTATTCTCTGATTTGCCACCATAATTTGAAACCAAACAATGAGACCTTCAGGAGTATGATAAGTTTGTGTGTGAAAATGAAAGATGTAAGTTCCAAGTCAGTTCCTTTCCCTTTCATCTCTCTTTGTGTGGAAGCATGTGCTGCCTGTTAATGGTTTATTTTCTTTTTATTTCTACATTGTCCTGTAGCAAACCAAAGTTTTCAAATTGTTGAAAGTTAATTATGCAATTTTGTGCATCCTTTTCTACTAATTGCAGTTTGGCGGTGCATATGCAATGCTCAATGACTTGAAGAAATTGAATGTGACACCTACAGCTAGTATTTATAATACTATAATGGCTGGATATTTTCGAGAGGTAACTTTTTCTGCATCTTGAATGTTCTTGGTATTTTATTTCTTATATTTTCCTTTACTTCCTAGTTTCGGAAACTTATATTTGTTATTGCAAATATGTAGCTTGGGCCTTCGCCTATGCATGAGTAGGGCACTGTTTTAACTGCAGTATGTCTCAAGATAGTGAGAAAAGAGAGTATGAATGACACATATGCTTAAATGTAAACTTTTCTATTTCATCACTGACATAGTTAAGCCATGGTCATTTTAAGGCTGTGCCATGGACCTAATCAGTGAGATTTTTCTGCCATCACACAAAGGATACTAGCAAAGTTGTTACTTCCTCTTTCAGTTGTTATTCTGATCTAAACTACACTTTCTGCACAACTGCAAGTAAATGCAAGACATATTTGACAAGGAAAATGCCATGAATTCATATTCTATGTAGATCTTGCATTTGCCAGCCTCATATTGCATTGCCTTTCCTCATGTTTTTTTTCCAGGGATTAACTTAAACATTAAAACAGTTTTTAAGCTTTGATCTGATTCTGATCTCTAATCTTATCTCTGTCTCTCTTTTACTGCATTTTGGGTTTGACTATTTTATATATATATATATATATATATATATATATATATTGTAAATGTTTTTCAGAAAAACATTAGTGGTGCATTGATGGTACTCAAGCAAATGGAATGTGAAGATGTAAAACCAGATTCTCAAACTTTCAGCTATCTAATAGGCAACTGCAATTGTGAAGAGGATATTACAAAGGTAGTTTGCAAGTTTGTAGTCTGCTCAGAGTTTCATGTTTTATCTAGTCCCTTTTTTCGTGATAAATTCATTTTTGATGTTCTCTGCAAGTTGCATTTTACTTTTAATGCAACTGATGGTTTGGCATGGGTGAAACATGTCTTTGGAATTTCACTAAAAGTGACGAAGTAATTTTGTTATTGCTTGTAGTACCGTGAAGAAATGAAGCGTGCTGGAATTCAAGTCACGAAGCATATTTTTATGGCACTTATAAATGCATATACAACTTGTGGGCAATTTGAGAAGGCAAAAGAGGTATGTATGCATGCAGCACTTAGCACCTATAGAAGTCACATCTGTTAGGTATGCACATTGAACCAAAAAGAATTTAGTTTAGGTACCGAATAAATAAATCTTGTGTTCAAGTACCAAATTATATGGAATATAATTCAAGTACCATTTATGCATTAGACCCATTTTGGTTTGTCTCTGATGGTCTCAAAAGATACTATTTTATATTTTAGGTACTCTTAGACAAAGGGATACCTGTTAAGAGCCTAAATGAAATCAAAAGTGTGCTTGTGTCTGCTTTTGCATCAAGTGGGAAGATGCCTGATGCATTAAACATTTACAAAGAAATCAAGCAAAATGGGGGATCTTTGGAGCCTAAAGCTGTTATATCTCTCATTGTAAGTTTTTTACAGAACCTTTGTTTTCTTTTTTCCCGTAACTGCAATCATGTTTTCTATCATCTCTATTATCTCTTAGGAACATTTTACATCTGAGGGAGAGTTGAGCATATTACTTCAACTACCGGAGGAATTACATGATCCAGACTATTGGGTTGATGGCTGTTGCAGAATAATCTTGCATTGTGTTAGAAATAAGCAGTTAAGGTTAGATGACACAATATTCTCCAATTCTGGGGCATTTATTTACTTTACCAAGTTTTCTTATCATTCAAACTCTTTCTATTGTTATCTTCCTTGTTTCTTTCTTCTTTTGTAATATAGAGGGATTTGCTTTAGTTAATCTTTGTTAATTCCTTGTTTCATCTAGATCTGCAGTTGATTTACTCAAGCAGCTCAAGGATAAGTTCCACAACGATGATTTGGCTATGGAAGTTATCTTTGATGAGGTTTGTTCCTATTCTCTCTCTTAAATGGTGTACCTTTAAGACTTATACCTCCTCATGGATTTTTAAAATTGCTGGTTACCAAATATTTTAGGCTTTTTATTTTTCTATACCCTTATTAATCTGCTATTGCTTATGTTTATTTAAATTTCCGTAATAGTTTGCTATATTAAATTATGATTTTGTCATGTATTAGCAATTTGATTGCATGTGCCTTCAATTTTATGTCTCCTTCTCTTGATTGAGTAGGTATTCTCCGTGATCGCAGCGAGCAAACCTAAAGGTTTACAGATTGGCCTGGCTTTGCTTCAAGCCATAAAGGATGAACTAGGCCTTACCCCTTCTCGGAAAAGTCTTGACTTTCTCCTTTCTGCTTGTGTAAACGCGAAAGATTTGCAAAACTCTCTTTTGATTTGGAACGAATACAAGGCAGCTGGCTTGCCTGGCAATGTTTTAACATTCTTAAGGTTAGTAATCCTTACTTTTCTTCAATTGTTTTTCGTATGTTCCAGTCTTCCTATGGATCAATTTGCTCCTGCTTTTGATATATCAAACTGTCGGGTTTTCTTGTAGGATGTATCAAGCCCTTCTGGCTTCAGGAGATCCCAAGTCTGCAAAGAGTATGCTAGCTAAAATTCCGACTGATGATCCGCATGTTCGATGTGTTATCAAGGCATGTCAAACAACTTATGTTAAGATGAAGAAGCAGCAGCGGCAGAACAGGAATGAAACTTGAAATACTAACATGAAATAGAGACTGAGAGTGATGAACCATTTATTAAAGGGCATTGCATTCTAATTAAATCATTGATTAATGCCATGGACGCACATATAATTATTAAGGTATTACCAACAAATTGAGCAATGAAATCCTTGCTGCTGCTGAAGCATGAAAATGAGGGAATCAATGGTTCTATTTTATTTTATGTTCTCATTTCCGAAATTTGCAACCTTTCAAAAGGAAGTGGCAACAAGAATGGCTCGCCTGCATCGACCCTTCGCCTGCTAGAGTCTTACGCTCAAAGTCTCTTCCTTAACTGCAGCCTTCACCATAGCCAAATCCATTTCCTTCGACCTCAACTCGAAACAACTCAGTCACCATTCTCTCTTCCACTTTCCTTTCATCTCTCAACACTTCTGCGTCTTCTCTTGCTCTTTCCGCAACGATTTTCCCTGCCTTAGCTAACAGTTCAGTGGAACCAAATTCTCATCCCATCAACCCCTCCAACTTCTCCAAGAAATCCATTATCACATACCCTTTTGGCTTCTCTAAGTTTATCTCCTTTGTTCCCTTCCAACCAACTTCAAAATTTGGTGGTTCTGACTTTGTACTGCCTGGTTTTGGTTTCTTTTCTCGGATTATTTCTGATCTTCGTTTTTAAATGGGGAAACTCTCTGGACTCATGGTTGTTTCATGGGAGATTGGAGATGGAAAACCTGGCTGACCAGGAGTTGGATTTGAGTTTGGAGAAGCGCATTTGATAGTGAAATGAAGTGTTTTTTACGGGTTGTGGATTGACTGGTTTGATACATGAAGAAGGCTTGGGAGAGAAAGGAAGTGAAGTAAAGTGGAAGCCATGGCTGATTTGGAAACTAATGTAAACTGTTGAACTATGAAGATAAGACTATACCAATTGCTGCTATTTGTCCTGTTGTTTATTTTTATTTAAGCTAATTTATTAAAAAACAAAATATAATTGGCAAGTAATTGTCTCTTTGAATATATAAAATCAAATAAACAATTAAATAAAAAATAAATATTTAATACATTTAATAGATTTATGCAATCACAGTCTATATTAATAAGATCTAATTTAAGAAAAAAACCTATAAAACAAAAAATAAATTTATTAAAACAAAGTTGAAAAGTTAAAAGAAAAAAAAGCTCAAAGTGAAAAAAAAAAAAAAAAAACACATTTAAGGGCAAACTCACTAGGAAGTTGAACTAAAACCTTAGATTTTGTCTTGTCGGGAGGCACCAGTTTTGAAAGCGGCTATGGCGAAGACGCCGATAGGACTAGAACCAGTGGTGGGATCGCTAGCATCATCAAAGAAGAGAGAATACCGAGTCACAAACCGACTCCAAGAAGGCAAACGTCCCCTCTACGCCGTCGTTTTCAACTTCATTGACTCCCGTTACTTCAACGTTTTTGCTACCGTCGGCGGTAACCGGGTAAGTCCTTTTTTCTTATACCTTTTATCCTGGGAATCAATTGGTTTCTTTTTATTTTGCGGTTAAGTTGGTAAAATGCAAAAAAGTTGGTTCTTTTTTTCTTCAATTTGCTAAGCAAAAGACACCCCAATTTTGCCCAGTTTTTGGGAAGCTTTGATCAGTCAATTAATCACTTTAATCTTCTCTGAAGCCTGACTTTGGCTAATTGCACTTTTTTCTTTGGAAAACCATTTTTTTGGGACTAATTTTTATGAATGAATTAACCCTTTTGATATGCTCTTCTCTTTTTGAAGTATTTCTCTATCAGTCTTTATTTTTAGTTTGGATGCTTATTTGGATCAGAAAAGTTGCAATCTTTACCAGTTGCGTTAGTTTTTCTACCGCCTTCATACATCCTTTGAAATTATGTTAGTGAATTTGCCCTTTTGTTTACAGGTGACGGTTTACCAATGCCTTGAAGGCGGTGTTATAGCTGTTTTACAGTCTTATGTAGATGAAGATGTAAGAAACAACACTGTAAATTACCTTTCTTTTTTCCTTAAACTTATCTTTTTGGATTATTTCATCATTCCATGTGTTTTGTAGATCAGAAGGATGAGTCTTTCTACACTGTAAGTTGGGCATGCAATGTTGACGGTACCCCATTTGTGGTTGCCGGAGGTATTAATGGCATAATCCGGGTAATTGATGCAAGTAATGAGAAAATACACAAGGTATCATCTTTAGACAATCAGAGCTTCTATTTGGATGACTATTCAATGCTGTTGAAAGCTGATAGTGTAAATTATAAATAGTTTTCATTCCATTGGATGGATGTGTATGTGCAGAGTTTTGTTGGCCATGGTGACTCTATAAATGAAATCAGGACTCAGCCATTGAAACCATCACTTATAGTGTCTGCAAGTAAAGTATGCATCAAAACATTTACTTGATAACTTTTTTTCTTTATCAAATGTCTAAAATTTGAAATTGGGGCAGGATGAATCAGTTCGGTTGTGGAATGTTCATAGTGGAATATGCATTCTGATATTTGCTGGAGCTGGGGGTCACCGCAATGAAGTTTTGAGTGTGGTAGGTGAAGACAGTAATGGCGTATCCTATTCTGTCTTTCCCATGGAGAATAGAAGTATGTCCTTCAATGTTTGCTATGTTACTCATATGCTGATGGTTATGATGGCTATTGTAGGATTTCCATCCTTCTGACATTCATCGAATTGCAAGCTGTGGCATGGATAACACTGTTAAGATTTGGTCAATGAAAGGTATGAGTATGACAATCATCCTTATGGATTGTTGTTTTAGTTGTTTTTCGAGGAAACAAACTAATTTATCAGATGTAATGGGAACATTAGAGTCAAAACTAGGGATGTCCAATACCTTTATTGGTAAATGACTGGTTATATGTCATCTATCAAGAGTCGGTTTCAGGGTCTTGGCTTTGAGGGTACTGAGGTGAGCTGGAATGATTGGATCCAAAATTGGATGTTATCTAGCACCAAAAAGAATTTAGTGCCATATAATTGTCAGCACATTTGATTGAACACTAAACTGTCAGGCAGGTGATCAAATATGAGAATTACCATTGAGTAAACATCAATTTAGGTGTTCACTCCTTTCTTTCTTTTTCTTAATCTTTCTACAGAGTTCTGGACTTATGTTGAGAAATCGTTCACTTGGACGGATCTTCCTTCAAAATTCCCCACAAAATATGTCCAATTCCCTGTGAGTAGTTTCTTCTTCTGATCTACGTAAAAGATACTGTTGTTCTAATATTTTAATAGTTATATCTTTTATTTTTAGGTGTTCTTAGCTTCAGTTCATTCAAACTATGTGGACTGTAATCGGTGGCTTGGTGATTTCATTCTGTCTAAGGTAAATTATTAGCTGTATCCACTGTTATATCAATTTTCACAAAAAGCTCAAATATAATTTAATATGTATTTCTAAATTGCTTTCTTGCTTTCTCAGCTGAGAAAGTTGAGCCATTTTGTGAAGAATCTTTGAACAACCTTTGAGGACATCACTTGCCTGAAAGCTCAAATATAATTTAATATGTATTTCCACATTGCTTTGTTGCTTTCTCAGCTGAGAAAGTTGAGCCACTTTGTGAAGAATCTTTGAACAACCTTTTAGGACATCACTTGCCCGAGTAGTATAAAATGCAGGCAGTTTTCTGATGTCTTAGATTAAAGCTAGTTAACATTTCCTTTGCCTCTTTTCTGATATTGGGCTTTGGTACTGCAAATAGGGATCTAAGATGAAAAGCGCTTATGTTGCATGTAACTTTGCCAAAAGATCATTTTCTAAAGTGGCATGCTAACTTCTTTCCAAAATCAGGTTACATTTTTTTTTTTTTTGGGTAGTAAAATCAGTATACATTGTTAAAAATACAACATTTAGGAACTTTCTTTTTAAGTTAGGACTCCTATATTTTACTTGAAAAAGTTGCAGCTGAAATATAGTTGGAAACTTTTCCTTGACTTTGTTATCATACACCTTTCGTGTATGCTGTTTTATTATAAGCCTGAATTATGTATGTCACTTTTGGTTATATAAGTTACTGTGTAATATAATTGCAGAGTGTTGACAATGAAATTGTTCTATGGGAACCAAAGATGAAGGAGCAATCTCCCGGAGAGGTTTGAACTTTCCCATTTCTCTTGCAAAGCCCTTGGTTTCTCTTTATTTTCCTGTTACAGATATATATTTTCTAAAACCCTCCACTTTTGCTGCCATGATGAACTTCATGATGTTTCCTGTTTAGGGTACAGCTGACATCCTTCAAAAGTACCCTGTCCCTGAGTGTGATATTTGGTTCATCAAATTTTCTTGCGACTTTCATTACAATGCTGCTGCTATAGGTATGTGGAAGGCCAAATGCCTGTCTCTTTAGGATGTAAACAATATATTAATAACAGTATAATTGCTTGGTGAGTTACAGCCATCTGTATTTCGATTGTAAACAATCGTGATAAGCTCAATATTGTTACCGCATGTACTCATTTATAAGCTTTGTTGGACGGGACAGGAAATAGAGAAGGAAAGATTTTTGTGTGGGAACTGCAAAGCAGCCCTCCTGTTCTCATTGCCAGGTTTGCTTGATTTGCTGTCACTGGTATTAAAAGGAAATTCTATGTATTTAATGGTCTTCTTATTTTGTCTCTCCCGTAGGCTATCTCATGCACAGTCAAAGTCTCCAATCAGACAGACTGCCATGTCCTTTGATGGAAGGTACCTCACTTGATTTCTAATGGTGTTCTATCAATGAATCATGATGTTTTTAATACCCAGGCGAACCTTCCATTTGCTTTTGGTTGTTGCAGTACCATTCTCAGTTGCTGCGAGGATGGGACAATATGGCGCTGGGATGCTGTTCCAACCAACTAGTCATTTCGAGTAGGTGTGCCAGACGAATGTTATGGAAGCTTTTCTCTTTTCAGTTCCTGCTGGTTGTAATTGAGTGGTATATTACATAGCAAACAACCACTTTTAACATGATGAACTGCTTGTCCTATCTTTCCTAGAAGTGCTAACTTCAAAATATTAAAATCAGTACAGCTGAAATCATGATAATGTTAGCCCTTCTCATGTCTCTCTTCATAATAGAAATATAGTCTGTCCTCTCAGTAAGTTCATAAAAATGTTTATTAAACCTCTAAAAAATGCAGACAAAAATGCAGACAGTTGTTATTGAATCTATCTCGAGCTAATCCAACTTGATCGTGTGCTTGACTTTATCTCTTCAGATGGCGGGTGCAACGGAGGCTTGGCTTAGTTGGCCACGACATGACCTCTTACACGTCAATCGTAAACAATTAAGGAGATAATGAATATGTCTTTCAACAACTATCTTCATTAACCGAACAATGAAAAGAAATGGATTATCTTCGACTATATTTTGCCTATCACTAGGAGAGGTTCGAAACTTAGACATCCGTTCAAAAGCAAGAAGAAATATAGGAGCAAATATGTAAAGAAAGAAAGGAGCAGCACAACCAATGCCGCAAACCAATATAGCCAGCCAAAGTGTTTTTTGCAGCACAACAAACAATCCAGTAACAAAGGCCAGTGTCATCGCTGCAAGCGAGATCCAGGTCAAGCCAATGGCAAAAGGAAGGGTATCCATGAATGATTCAGTGTCGCGACGTGAAGATGACCAAAATACAATAACTGCAGCAGTAATACAGGAAGTCATGGCAATAATATCAGAGATAACAAATACTTGGAAAGCAGATCTACTAATAATATTGCCATGCCCTCATCTGGACCATCACTTCTAAAACCTCCAAGGATGGTAAAAGCCGCAGTAAACGTGGATGTAGCTATAAGTGTAGACATAACAGAGATTATTTGGGCCATTTCTCTGCCTTTTTTATTACCATCTTTGTTTGCTTTTCAACTTCTTCTACCTCATCCATTTGTATATTTTCATGGACGTCTTCAACATTCATAGACTTTTGTTTGTAGGTGCTCTTTAATGCTTTCAAGGTTAAGTGCTTCAAGAAATTTAAAAAAAAAAGGTACAATCAATTAGTGAAATTAATATTTTTGCAAGATGACTGGTAGAAATTAATAGAGTAAACCAAGTTACCTACCTTCTGTAATTCCATTCCACGATCATCAGGCAACTTAACAATTGCCAGGGCAGTCTTGTTAAAGTTGTTAATAGCCCTGATTTCCACCTTTGAATTTTTGGAGAGAACACGTACTACATCATTGTGGTAGTTGCTGGCTGCCAAATGCAAGGGAGTGTTTCCATCTACATCAGGAGAGTTGACCTAATCTTTCATCTCAAGTAGCGTCATAATATATTTCATTGCATCTACATTGCCATTTTTAGCTGCCAGATGAAGAATGTTTTGTTGCTTCTCGTCAACTATCTCGATGGTGTCAGGGCAAGACTAGCAATGCTTTTTATCAAACTTACTTGGCCATTCTTTGCAGCCAAGTGAAGTGGTATTTGTTGATTTTCGTCTTCTATGTATACAATCGAAGGATCTTAATCCACCAACTCCTCCACCATTCTCTGGTGACCCAAGGCTGCGGCATAATGAAGAGAAGTCCTCTTCCTTTCATCTTGTACTCCAATGAGTTCTTGCTTTGAACCTAGTATGGTACTCATGATACCTAAATTTCATAGAAAAAAACATAGCAAAAAAAGTTGTCTTAAAGAGAGTTGGAGAAGGGAAACGGTGAATCTTTTCAAAGAAAAAAAGATTATTTTTACTACCAAAATCATTCCTCTTGACAGCACGATGCAAGGGTGTTTGGCCGTCGTGTCCAATGTAATCAAGCGTAGATTGATTCAAAGATATGATTCTCACTGCAAAATTCGTCAGCTTCACATCAATAGCAATCGAAAGTGGGGATTCCCCTGCATCATTTATCCGAGCAACGACTCTGGATCTTTCTCGGCCAACGCATTCATTACTCTGAAATGTACATTCCTGACGGTACCATGTAAAGATGTATTCCCATATTTATCTCTGATCCTTCCTATGTACATGCCTGAACAATCTTTCACTGAATTGATGAAACACTCAACGATATCGCGTCTTCCAGCCCTTGCCGCGATATGAATTGGTGTCTCTCCCTTGAGGTTGCTCTTAAAGGCAAGGGAAGGACATTGGTGGATGATCTCTTCTACCAGACGCTTGTGCCCAAATCTTGCAGCTATGTGAAGAGCAGTGTTTCCTTCCCGGGTAGTTTCATCAAGGATGTTCGCTCCTACATCTGCAATCAGTTCCTTGAGTTTTTGTAAGTTCCCTGATCTTGCTGCACTCAGCAAATCAAGATGCTTGGGGCCTTTAATCATATCAGCTACTATCTAATAACAACACTAAAGTTACAAGTTTCCTTTGATTTTTCTTTTTTCAAATGATTTCCAAGGTGGCTTGGATTGAAGAAGCACTTCCGAAATGTCCAGAGTGTCGAGATCTATTAATAAATTTATACTAATTAATGGTAAAATTTGTCAACACGTAGTTGTGGTGGATAAAATCAAACAAGAAAAAAATATTCTAGGACTTGACATTTGAATGTTGGTTAAAATGTATTATAGGTTTCAGTACTCTTTAATTTTTAAAAATTTAATTTTTATAGTATTATTTAAAAAATTTATTCTTTGTAATATTATTTTTAATAAATTTAGTCTTTATAATATTATTTTTGAAAAAATTTAATCCCTATACATTATTAATAATTAAACTGAAATCCTTAAAACAAATAATACTACAAAGATTAAATTTTTTTAAATAATATTAAAAAGATTAAATTCTTAAAAATAGAAGAGTTCATAGATCTATAGCACATTTTGACCTTTGAATGTTATTCTTTCTATCAAATATTCAGATATCAATTGACTCTATTAATATGAAAGTTTCATTTTAAATAGAGAAATCAATATTTTTAGTTAGGGTTCTATACCCTTTTCCCATGAGAAAATTTGTTAATTAGGTAAATATGAATGATTACTTGCATCTTCATTTGTTTAAGAACACTTAATGTTTATAGTCTGCCTTTGGTTAATTAAGTGCTAATCTTACCACTTTTAAGAAGGAATTGAAAGAAATATTTTGATATTTGACATTGTCATGGTTTGATCTCTAACCAATGGAATTAAAGAGTTCAACAGTCAGCACCAGTCATGAAATTCTGCAGTAATCAAGTCAAAAAAGATATTGTAACAATATTGCAACAACATTGTAACAACTTCTGCATGCCATTGTCAACGAGGTGGCAAATATCTGTGGACTTTCTTAGTTCTTAATTTCGATTTTGATTCATGGAAAAACAAGGAGCTGGGACATTCTAGTTTCTTGGATTAGATTCAAAGAGAGCTTCTCCAAATACTTGAATTACCTAAATGTAAAGATTTATATCTAACTTGCGAGATATTGTTTACTTTAATTTGAAAGTTTCATTATTTTATTTTACAAAAAATATCTTAAAAATACAAATTTAAATCTCAACTTATATAACATAACTTCATAATCTCTTAACGTGGGATTGGGGCATCAACCGAATACAAAATTTCGTGTTGACTTTGATTGTCTCTCCCATGCTTCCAAAGCCAACACCATCAGCCAATTTATGGCATTGATATCTGATGTAGTGAGGCATAAAGTTGAAATGCTGGATTGTTATATTGGACATGGATGGAGATGCATCGAAGAGCATCATTGTCTGAAAGCCTTTTTATTTCAGAGTCACTGACTTCACTGAAATTAACTACGAATTTCGGCGTCAAGTTTCCTACTGCCATATGCTTCCCCAAGGCTTAAAACTTTACATCTTATATGCACTAAATTTCATGATGAACACTCTGCTCATCTACTTTTTTCTGGTTGTCTGGTACTTAAGGAGTTGCTTTTAGAAAAATTGTTCTTGGAATGGCATAAATGGCATTACTATTTCTGTTGCCACTCTTTGAAAATTAACTATTAACCATGATTTGCCATCTAATAGTTTACTAAAGATTCAAAGTCCATGTATTCAATCTTTCAAGATCTATATACTTATTCACTATTCGAACTTGTGCTTTGTAACTTGGATTCATTTGCTAAAGCTCGTTTTGAGGTTATGCCATGGGCAACTTCATTGTACGAACAGCTTCAACTTGCTAGACGCTTTCTGTCAAGATTTGAAATTTGATTATTGAAAGAATTTAACATTTCACCAACAAATCATACGATCGTTGGTTAAAATTATTATTTATATTTCCTTGTAATATCAAAATTTATTTTTTTTGTCAAGATCATCTCATACGCACCTGCTGGTCATATTCATTGGTTTCCCAATTTATATCATTTGAAAGTGGGCGTTGAAGATTATTATTGTGGTTTGGCTCCAACAACATTAATGCATATTCTTCAAAAGTCACCTAATGTACAGTCTCTAAACCTTCCTGAAGTAAGTTTCCCAACTTATTATTGCTGTAATTTTATGAAATAGTTGACCTCATTTTTCACAAATATGATTTTCTTGACTTGACTTGATTAACCCCGAAGAGGTAAATAAGATTTTGAACAAATCGATCCGTTTGTTATATTCTCTCGAAAGAATCAAAATCTCAAATTTTATGAAAAATGCAGAAGGGATTTATGTATTAAAATATATACTAAAAAATGCTTTTTTTTTTAAATTGCTTTTCAGTCAATTGCTCACAAGATCTATCAAAAGACCTGGAAAGGAAAAAGTAGAAGCAGCAGCTTGTTAGCAAACATTGTGTATGTATGTTATTTTAGAAGTAGTGCTGTAATATTTTTTGAGGCTTCCATGGTACGTCCACAGAAATTGTAACAAGTATTCCATCACATATTTCTATGAGACTATATTACATCAGATTGTTAGTATAAATTAGTTAGTCAAACATAAATATACTTATTGATTATTACATTAAAATGTACAGTTAATTATAATATTGTAATTGTTAGATAGTAAAGTGATATTTTTCTATTTATATTAATTGCACTTTAATATCTAATACTAAATTGAAATTGAATTTTAATTTTAATTTTTTTAATATTATCTCCATCTTTTCTTCCCTATTCTTGCTATTATTATCTGTGCTCTTGTTTCTCCTGAGATTGTGCTGGTTGATTTAAACTTTGATCTTGCTACTAAGCTGTTGGCATCAGTTTGTTACACATTAGATGTCAAATTTTTATAGAAAAAATAAAAGATATATCGTCTA